CCTGCAATCATAACTACTCAGGAGACTGAGACCGAGAGAATTGAGGTTTGAGGCAAGCCTGGGCAAATAGTTTGTGAGACCCCCATCTCCAAAATAACCAAAGCAAAATGGACTGGAGGCATGACTCAAGTGGTAGAGTGCAAAGCCCTGAGTTCAAATCCCAATGACACACAAAAAAAAGTTAAAAGTAGGTAATGTATGTACAACAAATTCCAATGACAAATTCCATTTGTAGGTATATACCTAAGAGAATTCAAAATATATGTCCACACAAAAACTTGTACATGAATGTTCATGGAAGCATCATTTATAATAGCCAAAAAGGTAGGAGACAACCCAAATGTTCAAGTAATGAATGGAATATTATTTGGCACTAAAAAGAAATTACTGATACATGACAAGGTGTATCACACACGAAACTTGAAAACATTATGCTAAGTGAAAGAAGTCAGTCACAAGGGACAATATATTTTATGATTCCATTTATATGGAATGTCCACAGTAAGCAAATCTATAGAGACAGAAAGTGGTTGACTAGGGCTGGGTGGATGCAGAGGGCAGGAAATGGATAGTGACTGCTAAGGCATACAGGGTTTCCTTTGGAGTGATCAGAATGTTCTAGCCAGGGGTGGTGACTCATGTCTATAATCCCAGCAACTCTGGAGGCAGAGATTGGGAGGATCCTGGTCCAAAGCCAGCCTGGGGCAAAAACTGCAAGACTTTATCCAAAACAAAAAACATAAATCATAAAAAATCTAAAGCAAAAGGGCTGGAGGTGTGGCTCAAGTGGTAGAATGACTGCCTAGTAAGTGTGAGGCCCTGAGTCTCAAGAACTATTTGCCTGGGCTGGCTTCAAACCTCCATCCTCCTGATTTCTGCCTCCTGAGTGGCTAAGATTACAGGACCCCGGTTTTTATCTCTCATTTCTTTTTCTTTTTTTTTGGCAGTACTGGGGTTTGAACTCAGAGCCTCGTGGCTTTCGAGGCAGGTACTGTACCATCTAAGCCACTCTGTCAACCCTATCTTTCTTTCTTTCCTTCCTTCCTTCCTTCCTCCCTTCCTTCTTTCCTTTTATTTTTTGCAGCACTGGGGCTTGAACTCAGGGCCTTCACCTTGAGCCACTCCACCAGCCCTTTTTGTGATGGGTATTCTTGAGATAGAGTCTTGAGAACTATTTGCCCAGGCTGGCTTTGAACCACGATCCTCTTATCTCTGCCTCCTGAGTAGGCAGGATAACAGGCATAAGCCACCAGTACCCAGCTTATCTATTATTTCTTAAAAAAAAGTTTTTGAGCAGGGCACCGGTGACTCACACCTGTAATCCTAACTACTCAGGAGACAGAGATCAGGAGGATCATGGTTCAAAACCAGCCAGGGCAAACAGTGCTGAGACCCTATCTTGAAAAAAAAATTACAAAAAAGGGCTGGTGGAATGACTCAAGGTGTAAGCCCTGAGTTCAAGCCCCAGCAAACCCCCCCCCCCAAAAAAGGTTTTGTTGTAATGATTCTAACTATATTAAGAAAAGTAGTTAGACCAGGTAGCTCACATCTATAATCCTTGCTACTCAGCAGGCAGAGATCAACAGATTGAGGCCAGCACCAGAAAAATAGAAAGACCCTATCTTGAAAATACCCAACACAAAACAAGGCTGGTAGAGTGGCTCAAGTGGTAGAGTGCCTGCTTAGCAAGTGTGAAGCCCTGAGTTCAATCCCCAGTTATCCCCTGACAAAAACAACAATAAAGTAGTTAGTACGAATTCACTTAGGACTCATAGTTTTGATACGTTCTCTGTCCTCAACTTAGAAGCTAAATATACTATTAAGGGCATATGTGAATGTTAATTATTTTATTTGTTATAATTCATTTGTTCATTCTTTTAATAATTATCTCCTGAGTTCTTATTATATACCAGACAGCATACTAAGCATGGTAGGCCTCAGAGGCAGTAGTCAACAAGATGAAGTCCTTATTCTCATAAAATGGGACTCTCATATTAGTAGAGAAGATATACACAAATTTACATAATAAACTGTCAAGTATAAATGCAAAGAGGAAAAATCAGGGCAAACAAATAGAATCAGAGCTGGGGTTAACATAGATAGGTTGGCCACGATAAACCTCTCACAGACGAATTTTGAGCAGAAATCTGAATGTAGTCTTTTAATAGCCATTAACTTCAAAACTTATAAGCATTAGTGTTTTTTATTGCATAACAAATTACTCAAAACCTATTGGCTTAAAATAATAACCATTTATTTTCTCACAATTTCTGTGGGTCAGGAGGTCAGGTGGCTGTGGTAGGCAGTTCCAGTTTGGGATCTCTTAAGTAGTTGTAGTTATCTGTAGTTTAACTGGGGATGGAGGATCTGCTCCCAGAGGACTCCTACGTGACTGACAGGTCAATGCTAGTTGTTGGTTAGAGGATTCAGTACCTCTACAAGGGTTGCTCATGTATCTTTATGGCATGGAAGCTGGTTTAATCCAGAGTGAGTATTTCACGAGACAAGGCAAAAGCTATAATGCCTATTATGAAGTCATGCCCTGTCATCTTTGTTCCATTCTATTGTCACGTAGGTTAGCCCTGATTCAGAGTGGGAATGGACTACACAAGGGTCATTGGAAACCATCTTGGAAGCATCAAAATGCAGACCATAATTTTCTAATTTAAGTAGATTCACAGGGGGGAAAATCCACTAATGAACACTAAAGTCTTATTTTTTTATATTGGTTCAATTTTATTTCCTCATTTACATGTACACCATCTGTACATATTACTCCGTTTGAAGTTTCTTCTCTTTTGATATATAAATTTAAATGTTTAACTATAAAAACTCTACAAATACATTTTTTAAAACGGAGTTAACTTGGACTGACAGAGTGGCTCAAGCAGTAAGAGTGTCTGCCTAGCAAGTGTGAGGCCCTGAGTTCAGACCCCAGTGCAGTCAAAGAAAATAAATGGAGTTATCTTAGTTAACTTGGCAGGAAGGTTTCAAAGTTTAACATAGAAGTATCCAGTCATCAATTTATTTTTATTTTTTTGTGGTAGCACTGGGGTCTCACACATGGCTAAGCAGATGCTCTTACTACTTGAACCACCCTTTTTTTGTGGTGAGTTTTTGCAAGATAGTCTCGAACTATTTGTCTGGGACTGGCTTCAAACTGAGATCTTCCTGAGCTCTGCCTGAGTAGCTGGGATTACAGGTGCAAGCCACTGACATCTGGCTTTTATCAGTTTGTTCTTGAGTGAATCTTGGTAGATTGTCTTTCAAGAAATTTGTTCATAGACTGGCAAGTGACTCAATTGGTAGAGAACCTGCCTACCAAGTGTGAAGCCCTGAGTTTAAACCCCAGTGCACACCTTGTCCAGATACTTGGAGGCAAACCTTATCATTTTAGCCTACCAGTTCAAGATCAGCCTGAGCAACATAGTGAGAACCCCACCTCAAAAAAATTTTTTTGTTGTTCATTCATCTAATGAAATGAGGAAAGTTGCTTATACTATTATTTTACTAGGCTTTTTTTTTTTTGGTGGCACTGGGGTTTGAAATCAGGGGTTCACACACAAAACAGGTGCTCTACCACTTAAGCCACACCTCCAATCCATTTTACTATGGTTATTTTGGAGATGGGGTCTCCAAAAATATTTGCCAGGGCTGGCCTTGAATGTTGATCTTCTCCATCTCAATCTCCTAAATAGGTAGGATTACAGGCATGAGCCACTGGCACCTAGTGTTGTTTTTTTTTTCTTTCCCCCACTTTTGCCCCATCCAACCCCCCCCCACCACCTTTTTTAGTTGGTACTGGGGTTTGAACTCAGCTTCATGCTTGCTAGGAAGGTGCTCTATTGTTTGAGCCACACCTCTAGTCCCCCTCTTCCAAGTTCTTTAACCGCCAAAATCACCCTTAGGAGGCTATAAACATTATAAAATGTGTGTGATCAGCAATTTATTTAGTCTGCCTGAAGTGATATATCCTCTATAGACTCTATGGAGCTTTTTTTTTTTTTTTAACAGTACTGGGGCTTGAACTCAGGTCCTACACCTTGAGCCACTCCCCCAGCCCTTTTTTTGTGATGGGTTTTTTTGAGATAGGGTCTCAAACTATTTGCCTTGGACTGGCTTCAAACCCAGATCTTACTGATCTCTGCCTCCTGAGTAGCTAGAATTATAGGCGTGAGCCCCCAGTGCCCAGCAGAAGTCTTATTTCCTTCAAAATACTTTGTACTACTTTCTCATAAAAATATAAAACATTTATAGTTGTAAAAACCTTTACTTAATCCAAATCAAGATTTTTCTACAAGTGGTAACTCTTTCAGAAAGCTTAAAAGACATCACAAATCAAATGTGATGTTAAACCAATCTTATCAAGATAAATTTTCCTTTTCTTGGAGGGGTGGGGAATGGATTGGGGTTTGAACTCAGGGCTTCACAAATGCACAGCAGGCGATTTACCACTTCAGCCACACCTCCAGTTCATTTTGGTCTAGTTATTTTGGAGATGGGTGTGGAGAACCGGGTATGAGAAACCTATGAGAACAGCATAGCCATATCTGGGATGGCACAGTCCCCAGCCACAGAAGGGGGGAAGGCAAAATGCAGCACAGCTGCTTTTCCTAAGATGTCACACCCTCCCCCCACCAAGAACTGTTGCTCCCCTCACCAAGAGCTGTTGGTGTCTCCATCAGAGCGCTCAGCCCACTTGACCCCAGCTTTCTGCATGTTTGTCTTTTGTCTTTTCTCAATCTCCCCTGGCTCCCAGTTAGGTTTCTAGGACTAGTTCAGGCAGGCGGCAAGAGATGGGGTTTTGGGAACTATTTGCCTGGGTTGGCCTGGAACTGTGATCCTCCTGATTTCAGCCTCCCAAGTAGCTAGAATTATATACCCAGAGTCCAGTAATAAATTTTAATTTTAGGAAACATTACACAGTATTTCCTTTTTAACCTTTCATATTAGATTTCAACTGTGTATGTTATGTAAACAACCCGATTAACCCTTGTCATTTACATTTATGTGGTAGATGATCATGTGTGACCAGATACCATGTAAATTGTCACACCACAACTTCAAAAATAGCAAAAGGAAATCTTTATTGAAAGCATTAAATATCATTTTAATAAAAGGCAACCAGCATTGCCCTAATTTTCTGTAAAAATTACTGGTCTTCCTCCTGCCTTCCCCTATTTTGAATGGTATCTTTTACTCCATGTTAATAGACAAAGATATTCATAGCACTTTTATTTATTTAGCCTTTTACACATGGCTGTTTCTTTTCCAATGCACTGAATTTTTAAAAAAGGCAACAAAATTGGACTCTGTAGTTTCAGATTTTCTTTCCTTTTTTAAGATTCCACCAGGATGTTTTTCCTCAGAAAAGGGTAACTCTAAGAACTTAAGGAACCAAAATGAAATGAATGATAAACCACAACAACTTGAAACTTGTAGCAATCAAGAGATCTATACATATATTAGTAGGTTCTCTGAACTTATACATTCAGAACAAAAAGTCAGAATAACTTTCTGAACATAAATGTAAAAATACAGCATATTTATTAACAGTAGGAAAATTCCTAAGCTTATAGAGACAATGTATTAAGTCTTACATAATAAACACAGCCACAAGTATTAGAAATTCACTGCCAGATATTCTGATGTATTATCCTGAAAACCTGTCCCATACATACCATTAACACAGTATGACATTTATTTTACAAGGAGAAAAAAGTGAGTCTCATCACAAAAAAAACCAGATTTACTAGTTTTCAGCTTTGATCAAGTTATAGAGATATCTTTCAGAGATAAACAAGATTCACCCCCAAAATAAGTCTTTATATATATAATCCATTATTAATACTCTTTCTGCCCTTACAATACAAAACACTTAGAAACTTTTGAACTCTAGAAATTTTGACTAGTTAAGCTATTTGCTTGAATATTTTCTAATTTTCCATTGAGAGTCACATTGATGTTTTCAGTTCATTGGTCCAGCATGGAAAGAGCAATTCTATTTCTTTTTCTTCTTCTTTGGTGGCTCATCCTCAGAGCTGCTATCTGTGCTGGTGCTGCTGCTACTGGAAGAGCTGTAGTCTGAGTCTGAATCAGAGGAGGAGGAAGAGGTCGTGGAGGAGGCTGAAGATGACGAACTGGAGGAGCTTTCATCTGTGTCACTGTCCTCTGAGGAGGATGAGGTAGATGTTTCTTCACTTTCTGATGAAGAATCACTGGCTGAACTATCACTGCTATTGCTACTGGAACTAGTTACACTCTTAGACCTATTAGACAATGAACAGTATATATATATATATATGGGAAGCTGACATTAACAGAGTGCTTAAAAATAATGTCATACAATACTATGTATGTATCTCCTGAAGCTTTGCTAGCACGTTAATCCCAGGTTTAATACTTTGGGGATTGCCTGTTGTGGCTTCTTGGGGATTGTCTCCTTCTTTTAAAGGTCTTCTGGTTATTTTAGTAACTCTCCTAGATGGAGTTCTCAAAAGGTGTATCTACTGTATTATGGTTCTCAGTGAAAAATATTAGAATAAAGTTGCAGTGTAACAACTGAGACTAATCAAACCTCACACAGAATAGTAAATGTTTCATTTTCTTTTTTTGTGGTGCTGGGGATCAAACCTAGGAGTTTCACACATACTAGGTAAGCATTCTACCATTAAGCTGTACCCTAGCCTTATATTCTTTAATTACTTTGACCAGATATGGCAACAGTTTCTTAACAATTTCATAATATTTCCAATTCTATTATTTCTAGGTATAAAGTCTATAGAAAGATGTAGAAAAAGGAACAATAGAAGCAATAAATTCCAGACCAAAAAAAAAAGAGAAAAAAATCAGAAAATAATGATATTTAAGAATTGCAAACAAGAGACTCCAGACCAAATTTTATAGGTAATATTTTAATGTCCTCATTCTATCACTTCACTAGTATTTCATACTATCTATATAATACTCTTAAAGCCACACATACCTTTTTTTCTTGGTCTTTCTTTCTACATTAGTTTCTCCAATGCTGGTAGACACGAGAAGGAAAAAAGCTCCTGTTAATAGAGTGATTATACACGACTCAGAAAAACCCTTCTGCTACCCTCAAAATTGTTTTACTGTCTTTCATAACATATACTTAAAATACAGTATTTTTTTATAACAAAGTGGAAAGATTGTAGATTACATATGGCACATCCAGTTGATTTAATTAGCACTTCAGCAACAAATTTTATCACCTATACCTTTAAGAGCCACGAGTTAGTGGTTAAGATGACTAAATGCACAAATTTGGCTTTTTAGTTTAGAACTTAAATCAACTACTTACTGAACCAAACAAAGCAAATAATATCAGGACAGCTATAATTTGAGTTTTCAAAATCGTATTATAAATGGACATTTCATTTTTTTTTAAAAAGCAACTTTAACCATTTCTTCATGCCTTCCAAATTTTCAGGTTTTTTTTTTTTTTTGGGTGGGGGGAGGACTTTATTTTGAACTCAGAGCTTCTCAGTTGCAAAGCAGGTGCTCTACTCCTTGAGCCACACCTTCAGTCTATTTGTTCTAGTTATTTTGGGGATGGGATGCTGGTAACTATTTGCCTGGGCTGGCCTTGAATCTTGATTCTCCTGATCTCAGCCTCTAAAGTAACTAGGCTTACAGGCGTGAGCCACCAGTGCCTGGCAAGGTACACCCTCTTTTAATTTCTTTTGTGAAATTAGAAAATAGTTGTTAGAAGAAAAAAAAGTAAAAGAAGAACGATAGGCAAATTTTCACACAGATTTGTTTTTGGAAAAGCATACACGAATGTTAATGACCCAGAACTTGGTTATTTATCTGCATGACTCCTAAAGAGCTTTCAAGTGCACAAATTGAAAGACTGCTGCCTTGGAAGATGTTTACTACACCATTATGTAGCTAATAGTCCTTATGAAGGTGCTGCTTCTATTCTGTAATACTAAGTAGAACTAATACCTTCCCTATTTCAGCTTCTCTAAAACATATTTCATAGACATTTTAAAAAGCTTTATTCAAAGGATATGAAAAAGTAAATAATTTACCAGTCTTCTTCCTATTTACTTCCTTCTTGGGAATAATCACTATTAGCAATCATTTATATTTCTGAAAAAAAAAAAATCCACCATTCTTTTCTTCTTTAACATAAACTACCGAGCATATATACTATTTTCTACTTTGTTTATATACTTGGATAGCTTTCCATATATCACCCACTTCAGGTTTTTTTTTTTTTTGCAATACTGGGGTTTGACCTCAGGGCCTACATCTTGAGCTACTCCACCAGCCCTTTTTTTGTGTTTTTTCGAGATAGGGTCTCTTGAACTATTTGCCTGGATTGGCTTTGAACCAAAATCCTCCTGATCACTGCCTCCTTTGTAGCTAGGATTATAGGCAAAGCCACCAGCACCTGGCCACCTCATACAGTTTTTTTGTTGTCACTTCATTGACAGTTGAGGCAATAAAGCAAATGATTAGGAACAGATTGTTGGTTTAACACTTAACCTTCCCACTAGTAGTGTGATACTATAAGTTACTGATCTCTCTGTGCCTCACTGTTTTCGTATGTAAAATGAGGAAAATAATGGTACCTACATGAATAGTATAGATTTGAGGCTTAAATAAGCTAATACTTGTAAAGAGCTTAGTACAGTGCCTAGCACAGAGTAAGCATTCATTAACAATGAGCTAGCATTTTAATTAAAATCTGAAACATTTAGTCCGTTAAAAAACCACATACACTTTTTGGATAACACATGTAAACCTACCTTTGCTGTAATAATAATCGATTTTCTTTTTCTTTTAAAGCTTTCTTTAGTTCTGCTGTTCTTGAAGGCCTATGTAGATATTTTCTTTTTCCTGTGCATTCATAAGTCCAATGTCCAAATTCCAAGCATTTCTGACATCTTACGTGTTGTTTATTTGCTTCACTAGAAAACAAAAAATAAAATACAAATCTTAGAATTTTGCATTGTGATGCTTTCTGTACTGAAAAGAATAAAGTGATGATTATTTTCATGACAAAGGACATAGAAGGAAGTATAGGATGTGGTTAAAAGAACTTGGAGTTAAATAAAACTGAGCTAAAATCTTGACTCTGCAATTCCATTCCAATAATGACCAAGTAGGTAATTCAGACTCTCAAAACTACAAAGGATAGTCAAAATATTTTAATTTTTTTGTGTGGTGCTAGAAATTGAACCCAGGGCCTCACGCATATTAGGCAAGTACCCTAGTACTGGGAACTGAACTCAAGGCTTAGTACTTGCTAGGCAAGCTTCTACCACTTCAGCCACGTCCCCAGTTGCCAGTCAAAACATTTTAAACAATCTGCTTGAGGAATCAAAGAATTAACAGGGGGATAAAGAATAACCAAGTTGGCTAGCTCAAGTGGTAAAAGTGCCTGGTGTTCAAACCTCAGTACCACCAAAAAAAAAAAAAAAAAAAAAAAAGTATAATCAAGTCAAGACATAGAAGAAGACGGAAATTCAGAGTTAAATCAATTAAGCTGGAGGTGTTTACCCATCTCAAGAAGGTAAACATCACTTATCATAAACTAGATAAACTTGTGCTCAGAGTTAAGATTGAATAGCTATACCCTAAGAATAAGTCAAACCTTACATAGACTCCAGCCAGTTTTTAGTTATCTAAAGACTGAGAAAAAAACTGGAGGTGTGGCTCAAGCAGTACAAGCGTGAAGCCCTGAGTTCAAATCCTAGTACCACCAAAACAAAAAAGAAGAGGCTATTAGATATGAGGGCAATATATTTTTAAAAAAGAATGCAGTTCTATTTAACAAAACCAGTTAGAAACTAAAAAATTTCAAGGTCATATTAATAATTTTCTAAAAATACCAAATACCTATAAATAAATAAAAGAAGAGAGGTGCAGGACTCCTAAGCAGAAAGCATACATTACTGAGAAAAACCGAACATTTAAATAATAACTAAATAAAAGGATATACCATGTTCTTAAGTTGGAAGGCTTGATATTATAAAAGCGTTAATTCTCCCCAAATTGGTCTATATATTCAAAATAATGGCAATCAAAATCCCAACATACTTCCTTGGGGGTGTGGAACTTAACAAGTTTATTTTACAATGTGTATGAAATTTCAAAAGGTCAATAATGGGACTGGAGGCATGGTGCACTAGGTAGAGTGCCTGCCTAGCAAGTGCAAGGCCCTGAGTTCAAACCCCAGCACCACCAAAAAAAGTAAATAAAGGCCAATAGCCAAAATATCCTTTTACGTAAGTAGGGATTGCTGGTGGAGTGGCTCAAATGGCAAAGTATCTGCTTAGCAAGCATAAGGTCCTAATTTCAAATCCCAGTGTGCCAAAAAAAAAAAAAAGTAGAAAATATTTGCATTAGAAGACATTGCCTTATTATAAAACTGTAAGAATATGAGAGCAAGGATGCACAAATAAGCTAATATAACAGAACAGAAAATCTAGAAACACATACACATACATAATGTACATGCAAGCATTAAGAAAAATAATTCTGACAGTATTGGGGGTTGTACTTGGGACCTGGTGCTTGCCAGGCATGCATGAACTTTTCATTTATGAGAAACATAACACTACAAAGCAGTGGAAAAAAGTCAGATTATAAATAGCACAAAGACAACTGGTTATACATATATATAAATTAAGACTTTATTCTCAGCAGGGTGCTGATGGCTCACACCTGTAATCCTAGATTACTCAGGAGGTAGACATCAGGAGAATCACAACTCGAAGTCAGTCCCAGGCAAACAGTTCGAAAGATCCCATCTGAAAAAAGGGCTGGTAGAGTAGCTTAAGCAGTAAGGGTGTCTGGCAAGTGTGAGGCCCTGGTTCAAACCCCGGTACCACAAAAAAAAAAAAAAAAAAAGCTTTATTTTTATTCTCTATCACATGCAAATATTGATTGCACACCTGACCAAACAGGATTTTAGAAGAAAGTGGAAGAAAGCATAAGAAAAAGAAGGAAGTATAATATAAGAAAAAAGATTTGAGTTAGGAATTCTTAACAAACAACAAAAAACCACAGGCCAGGTGCCAGTGGTTCACACCTGTAATCCTAGCTACTTGGGGAGAGTTTTTTTTTTTTTTTTTTTTTTTTGTCTTTTCTTTTTTTTTTGGTGCTGGGATCGAACCCAGGGCCTCACGCATGCTAGGCAAGCGCTGTACCACCGAGCTACATCCCAGCCCAATCCTAGCTACTTGGGAAACTGATTGAAGTTCAGCAAACAGTTTGTAAGATTCCATTCCAACATAACTATAACGAAAAGGACTGGAGGTATAACTGAAGCAGCAGAATGCCTGCTTTAAGAGCATTTGCTTTACAAGTGCAAACCCTGCATTTAAACCCCAGTTCCACTAGAAAAAGAAAAAAAAAACAAAAACCAAAAAACTAATCAAGAAGAAAAAGCTAGATTAACTATGGTGGGAGTGTGGCTCAAGCAGAAGAGTGGCTGCCTAAGCACAGCACAAAGCCCTGAATTGAAATCTCAGTACCACAAAAAAAGATTAACTAGACAAGAATTTCTAAGCCAGCAAATATCGAATATTCTTCCTCATTTGTGGAACCTGGACCTGAAAGGATAACGATACTAATGGGACATGAGTGTTTATAGAGGACTGTCTGGGGGGAACCAATTCGGGGAAGGGGTAAAGGAAAGGATATTAACAAAGTATGCTACCTATATACATAAGAAGGCAGCATAATGACACCACCAAAACACTGTGAAAAGGCGGGGGAAAGAAAGGAGGGAATGGAAATATAATGGAGGGGATGAACTTGTTCAAGGTACACTACATGCATGCATAGAATTATCACAAAGAAATCCCCTATTATTAATGTTTGCTAATTAAAACAATAAAATTAAGCTGGGTATTGCTGGCTCACACCTGTAATCCTAGCTACTGAGGAGGCAGATATCAGGAGGATCGTGGTTGGAAGCTCAAGTAGCAGGGAGCCTGCCTAGCAAGCTCAAGGCCATGAGTTCAAACACTAGTACTGCCAAAAAAGAAAAAAAGTGGGAGATCTTTGCAACATGTATACCAATGATCTCATCTACAGAGTATGCAAACAACTCTCATACATCAATAAGAAAATGATGGATAACAAACAAATAAGATGAAGTTGAAAATGGAAAGACAGTAGAAAAATGGGATTGGGAAATACAAATGAACAATAAACATGAAAAAGTACTCATTAGTAATCAAAGAAAAGCAAAGTAAGTCCCAATAAAATACCACTAGAAAGACCAAAGTAAAACTGGCAACAGCAAATGTTACCAAGGATACGTAACACAAGAACACTCATCTATTGTTGATAAGAACACAAACTAGTACAACTATTTTGAAAATAAACAAAATAAAACACATTTACTATAGCTGAAAAGATGCATAGTGTATGTCTCAGCAATTCCACTTGTAGGTATTTACATAACAGAAATCTACATACAACTATATCAGAAGATACCAGAATATTGTTTTCCTGACTAGGAGTGAGGCTCAGTGGCAGAGCACCTGTTTAACATGCATGAAGGTCCTGTTTGATCTCTAATAACACAACAAGACAGAAAACAAGAAAAAGAAAAAAAGACTGCCTTTCCTTTATGTAACTTTTTAAAAGTTTGAAACATCACAGCCTTATAGATAATAACTTTTTTTTTTTTCCCAGTACTGGAGTTTGAACACAGGGCCTCATGCTTGCTAGGCAGGCCCTCTACCAACTGAGCCATTCCACCAGCCCTGTTTTTGTACTGGGTTTTTTCAAGAAAGGATCTCGGACTAGGGGTGTGGCTCAAATGGTAGAGTACCTGCCTAGCAAGTGGAAGGTCCTGAGTTCAAACCCTAGTAGTGCCAAAAAAAAAAAAAAAAAAAAAAAAAAAAGAAAGGATCTCATCTGCCCAGGCTGGCTCTGAATTGCAATGCTCCTAATCCTTGCCTCCTGAGTAGCTACAATTACAGGCATGATTCACCAGCACCCAGCTGCAATAACTGTTTTAAATAACAAATTTTCCTGTATTATTTGTAAGCTGTCACCCTGATTGATGTCTCATCAACCCAAAGTACTTTATTGCATATTTTCTACAAACTGGAACATCCTATGTAAACAATATAATGAAAATAAAATTTAAAAAATTAATGTTGAGACATTCCTACTAATCTCTAGACCCCATTTAAGTTTCATCAAATGTTCCAATAATGTCAATTGTAGGAAAATTCAGTTCAGTCTGGGAGAGTTCACTATTTGTGTCTTGCTTTTCATGACTTTGACATTTTTAGGTACAGGCTAGCTGTTTTTCAGGCCATGCTTCAATTTGCATTGGAGGATTTATTTCCAAGCTCACTCATGTGGTAGTTAGCAGGAGGTTTCAGTTCCTTGCCATGTTAGTCACTCCACACTCCACAGGGCTACTCACAACAGCTTTCCCTGGAATGAGTGACCAAGACAACCCAAGAAAGCCAGTCTTTTGTAATCTCATCTGGGATGTAATCATCACTTTTGCAGCATTCTATTTGTCACAAAGACCAATCCTGGTACATTGGGTGGGGAGCACAAAACTGTACACCAGAAAGTAGGAATCATTGAAGGCCATCTTGGAGACTGGCTACCACAGCTGATACCCCTACATGGCCAGACTCAGCGCAAGAAGCTTTGGCAAGAATATAATAAAAGTGACGGTTTATACTTTTCATTGTGTCCTGTCAGGGATCCAGTTTGTCTTATTACTGATGATGCTCACTTTGATTCCTTGACTGAGGGAAGGTCTACCAGACTTTGCAACTGTAAAGTTATTTTTTCTATTGCAGTGGTTTCAAAGTATGCTCATAAAATTTTTGGTATTTCTCATTTCAAGAGATGGCCTAATTAACCCCTCCTTGAATGTGGATTGGACTTCAGGACTTGCTTCTAACTAATAAAATAAAGCAGA